TTAATAGAAATCATATAAAACCATTTCAATCTCCTTAATTCATTAAAATTATTTTCAGCTCCTTAGGCCTAAACATAAGAAAGTTCTCTTTTACCTTTCATCGGGAGTACTATACCGACACCGACATAATGAACAACTACTAGGTGATCGACCTAGCAACAAGTATTTGACCCTACTTGTCTGGGCGGCTTCCCGTAGTTCCATACGAGTCGAATTAATCTCATTAATTTAAGTAATGATCATTTGCCCTCTCAATGAGGGACTTTATCCCACAAACCTCGGCTTAGCCTTGGAATGTGTCCCTACACCGGCACGTATAATTCCATGGTAACGAACTTAACAATCGAACCAATCTCGGTGGTCTCCACTAGTAACTCCCAAAATATTTTACATATCAAAAATAGATTCATAGCATAATAGCCTCAAATGATCTATTTTTATCAAATCATGATTTTCGTAGCTAATCCAAACCATGTGAACAAAATCAAATGAATAACCTTTTTCATGTTAAAACCTTTAGCAATTTAACATCAATCTAAAGATACAACAAGTGCTACTCCTTTGTTAGAATTTCAAAAGACAAACTTTTTCATGAAAACATATCTTTAGCACTCAAGCATTTTATATTCTTATCAATAGATAAGTTTTAATAAAACTTACAATATTTTCATAAGTGTCAATTTGCCAACAATTTTTGAAAATAAGATTTTTATAAAATTACATGACACTTCATAAGCAACAAATTTAGAAACACGTGGTGACATCTTTTCCGCTTGTCCTCACAAGTACGGATGTACATTTATAAATAATATAATGTATCAACTCAAAACATGCTTTTAGAGAGAATCCCTCAAAAGGAAGAGTAAGTCTTAATCAACTTACCTCAAACTTCAAGCTCCAAAAATACTACAATGCTCCAATTGATTAAAAATCCCAAATATCACGTACAATTCAATATCTACCATTAGATATCCCAACAACATCAAAACAAATACGAAAATATTTATAAATATCTATTTAGGCTTCACAATTTGGCTATAAGCCTTCAACCATCCCAAATTATCCGATAGGTTCACCCATTAGCCTATTCAATTTCATTCTTATTATTTAATACTCATTTGGAGTCATTAATGATACTACGTTAATTACCCAAAATCTTCAAGTCACTATTCATTGTCTTCTCCAGCAAAACTCTAAGTTCAAGAACATCCATTTCAAGAACTAGTGTTGTATCTTATCCAAATGGTCTCGATACAATTCGTTCATAAATTAAGTTATCACGTCTATTGAAATTATTAAAAACTCAAAACATATCCATTTATATCAATTCATTACTATTCATCTTCTTCTTTGCCCAAAATATCTTTTTCAAGACCCATCCTTAGGGTTCATACAATATCCCATTACAACTTCAAATAAAACGCATAAATATGCTACTCATACTCCAATATGTCATATATATAAAGCTCAAGTGAAGAGATTACCTCTTGATGGAAGAATCTCACTTTTTCTCTTTTTAGTGTTCTTGAAGATTCAACTCATTTTCTATGGATTTGATCCATAATAATGTTAGTGCTATCACTAAATGATGTTATATAATCATCCTTGTAAAAAAAATAACTTATCTTGAAGTGTGTCCATGGTGGAAGAGCTCCTCCTTCTCTCTAGAAACCCATTCCAAGTTGAAGAACTAACTCTCCCCTTGTTTCAGCCCTTATAAAATGGCCCCTAAACCTGCGTAGCCTACGCATAAAACCTACGCAGGAGGCCTTCCCTCGGCCAAAATCTGAAATTGGCTACGCAGGTTGCGTAGTTTGTTACGTAGCTGCACTACCACCTTCTGGTAAAAAGTCCATAACTCATTGTACAAATATCCAAATGACAAATGGTTTGAATCATTAGATACTAGACACATAGAACTTTCATTTGATAGGTCATAAATCATACAACACTTCATATATTGAGATTTATGTTTGTTTGAAGTTAAGTCTTGTACAAACTCACTTGAAACTTTACCCCATCATATAATTTCCAACTTGACTTAGCCTCAGGGCTCTTCTTAGACCATAAACCATTCTTAATACACCTCATACATATATTATCATGATCAATTGATATCATTCATATTATTAGTCTTGTTCATACCCGAATTAATATAATTAGCACTCGCCAATCTTCTTAATGGTCTTAAAACACTTTAAAAAATTTTGGGATGTTACACTATGTCCTTTTGTTCTTAATTGACATTATTTTGATCATTTTACCTCTTAAAAGTATTTTAATTGTAAAATAAGCGCAAAAAGAAGTAAGGAGAAAATTTGGGCAGCTCTCGAGTGGAACCAATGAAAGAAAAAAAGGTACACTTGTTTGTAAAATAATTCACCACTAGCGAAAATTAAAAAAGGAAAAAGAAAGTTGAAAGAAAAAAAACTCTGAAGAAAAAAAAAGAGAAGGAAAAATATAGATGAATAAATTGTTGTCTTGTTCTTGCTAGTGGGGGTAGAACTGAAGTAGTGCTTAAAGAAAGAGGAAATATTTTTGGGGTGTGATCTTGTTGTGAAATTGAAGTTGATTGAAGAATTTGCGCTTAAAGTTAATCATGTGATATGTTATAGTGCTTAGGAGGGTGAACCACTAGTCCTAAATATATCCTACCTGTCCCTTAGCCCAGATTACAGCCATGAAAAGTTCTAATTGTTTTAGACCGAGTAAGCCTACATTAGTGGAGATTTACATTATGGGAAAGACTATGGTACCAATTGCATGCATGTGACTTCTTTTGTGAGAGTGAGCAATTTCTTTGATATATGTGAGTCCTTAAACTATATTTGATCATGAGATTCGAATGTGTGAATTCAACTTACTCTCTAGTTCTTATTGTGAGGCACATGGTTTCACGAGAGATAGGTAAAATTATTAGACTTCTCTGCGATGTGGGTGTTCAAGCCATGAGTGCATTGTGATATTGAGTCGGTTTTCGAGGTTAGGATTGTTATGGGCATATTGTCGTCATTGTGTACATTTCTTTTGAAGAATGGCATAAGAAAAAGGGAAGTGTTTGTGATTGCATATGCTCTAGCTTAATTTTTGCTATCAACCGTGGTCATTGATATAGTGTGCTTCGATTGTGTAATTGTAAAGTGCTCAAGAATAGTGTAATTTGTTGGTTGACTCGAGAGTGAGCAACGTTGAAGTATGGGGTTGTGATGTTTGGCTATAAATGCATATATTTAGTGCATTGCTTACCCTACATTTTAATATTTTAGTGATTAAATGTGCGATGTTTGAGACTAATTATGTCGTTTTATGTGTAGGATTGTTAAAGGATGAAAATACATGAAGGTTGCACACATGGACGTCAAAGATACACAAAAAGAGCACCAAAAGGTAGAAAAATTGAACCAGGAGCCAGAGTGGACGACGCCTGGTCCAGCGCGTTGTCAACCTGGCGTTACAGTGGGCGACACCCACTCTGCAGCGCGTCCCACACCAGGCCTCCCGAGCTCCGAGGCCTGGTCCTTTTCTAGTCCGTGTATTAAACATTTTCTTCATGGATTTGGGTTTGGGGACTCTGATCCTAACCTATAAATACCCTCTAAACGTGATTAGTTCGGGGTTGGTCAATTTTGGAGGAATCTTCCAGCTTTAATCTAGTTTTCATAGCTTTATGTTTAAAAATCATCTTTTGATTTTTGTGATGAACATGAGGAGCTAAAACCCATAAATTATGGGGTTGCGATTTAGCCATGAATATTGTTGTTTGAAGTTGACTTGACTTTGATTATAATTCGTTAATATATGGTTGTTTCTTCAATTCTGTGATTAATTGCTTAATTGTCTGGTTAACAGTTAGGTTCTATTTACTAACTATGCTATGCTTGGGAAAGTTACGTCTAGATTAGAGAAGAATTGAAGAGGGCATGATCTTAACTCTAAGTGGGGGCGGATTTGTGGTTAGGATAGGAATATACCTAGTCACCATGCTCAATTGAATATCGTAATCTTAATGCGTTCTTGATAGATTGATTCCATAGGAATATAGGCGTTAATCTATTTTGAAAAGGAGAGCAATTATTCGATTCCATGAGCGAATTGTATGAAAGGGAGAATTAATGAGAACGCAATAGGATTGGTAAATCGATCACAACCCTGGAATATACATCTCTACTGAATACACAACAACTATTTTCTGCATGATTATTTAGTTACTTGTTACAATTATTGCTAGTATAATCGCGCTTTTAAACTCTGATTGACTCGACTAAATAACAATCTTGGTGAAATTAGTGGGTAGTTAACATAAGTCTCTGTGGGTTCGACACTCAACTTATCATTTTATTATTTGTACGACCACATATACTCTTGCATGTGCGTTTGGGAGAAACAAGCTACTATAGCTATGGGGTCAATCACTTTTCTTTCCACCAAATCCACACACTCCTCTCGTAATACGCTTTTCTTGCCCCCTGCAAATACAACATTCGGAAGTCCTACTTCCTCCTTTTCATTTATCAGAAGTCACTATCAATTCTAGCTTCTTCAAAAGCACTAGAAGTCTCGGCGGATCCAAAATTTTAATTTTATGGATTCAAAATTTCGACTTCAACCACCGAACCTATCACCTTATTTGAGTTATGGGTTTATACCTCAATTTTTTAACAATTTTAATAAATTCAATACTGAAAATTCAGGTTTAGAATAAAAGTCATGAATTCAATTGAACCCATAACTAATATGTTAAATTCACCCATGTTGATATGTCATTACAATGGCGTTATTTTGAAATCCGAGCACCTTCACCACCAAGCCCACAGCGACGCTCTCCCCTTTCGATGTTTTGCTGCCTGATGAACTCAATCAGAGCCTTCAGTTTTTTGAGGTTTTGAAACATAATAGGACGATCGAGTAAGTGGCCATTAAATGAAATATGAAATAAATAAGGTCATGAAAGATGAAAATAGAATGCATAGCAGTTGAAATTTGGTTTCTAAAACGGACGATTCGTGTAATTGAGATGATTTATTTTATTTCTAAAATGGACTTCTAAAAAAGGTGTCTCAACATTGTTTTCAAATACCAAAGTTCTTTCAGAAAACCGCTAAAATAAAAACTACTGATATCCAAAGGGGACCAAAATGAACCACGGCACTTTTGCACCTTGATCATCAAAGATTCACCTTTTTCATTTTTCTTTCCCCAATACCATAAATTGATCATCTTGTTCAAGGAGCACAGGCAGTGGGTAAAGCACATTGCAGATTCTTCTGTTCAATTTCAACACCACCTGAAAACCTTACCCCAGCATGAACGAATCTCTCTGGGAAAGTCTCAGATCACATTGCTCAATGAAAACAAGAAAAGGCCAAGCTATCTATTTCACACCAGAAAAAGGACAACACCACCAACTCAGCAACAGCTCATGAATAGTTCTTGGAGTCGATCAACAGCTAGTATGTGGAGAGAGCTGACACTGGTGAGTTAATCTTTATACAACTAACTTCAAGCAGCTTCGAAGAACATTCATTCGCCTTGCATTGAACATGCCCCAGGGAGGGAGTCCATAAACTAGGGGAAATACACCGAGATTGCAAGTTCATAATCCCCATATAAATATACTTTCTACTGCTTCTATTACTGATAAGAAGAGATCCATTTTGTTTCAAACATGGAGGACAATATCATAACGACTAAAGACATAAGTTGGTTAATAAAGATATGAAATATCTGTTTTATTTTATTTTTCTCTTGATGTTCAATTTTAAAAATATTATCTGAATGAGCCTCCTAATCCGCATCCCAAGCTTTTCCCTGAGAAATCTCAATGCTAGCAAGTTTATTAAAATTGTTGATACAAAATCTCACCCACCAACTATATGACAGCAAAAATTTCGTGTTCCCTGACTAGCTGACTGTATTCACCAACCAAGGTGAAGGAAACATGCAACTTAACGGTCCTGCAGAAGAAAAATACAAAAAGGTGCATTTTAGTTCTCCACTACAATTGACATGACAAAGATAAATTAAAATTTAAAAGGTAGAAATTGCCTGCTGAGATACTTGCTATCATATGAAATATACTGAAAGTATCAGCATGTTAAACGATTACAGGTGCTAACTATGCATTCGGGTCTGAATTCCAGATTACAGTAAATTTACTGTAGGGAACATCAGATCTGGAGACAAATTATCAGGCATAGTAAGAATTACACTAAGATAAACTTTATGTAGCATCCTACTACAGAATCATGAAAAACTTACTAATTAACAATACTCGTGTTACCTGAAGACTAAATTTTAGCTCCTTGACAGATTACTTTCAATATCCAGAGAAAAGACTTAAAACATAATAGGTATTTGATCTACAGAGAATGGAATAAACAACATTATCAATTCTATCACCAAATGCAAATTAATTCTTCCAAGGCAACAAAACTCCTGGGAATTAATCCAAGTGAAGTCATACTAAAATAGATTGTTGAACCTAGACAAATGCATGGGGAGCCATCCTAACAGAAAAGAAATGAGGAGGGAAATCTACATTAGGTAGAGCCATCCTAACAAACAAAGAACCTAAGGAGGACAATCAACATTGGTTTGAGCTTCGTGCACAAGCAAGCATGAGAATTTGTCTACTACTCCACAGAACTATTGCATACATGTTGTAGTGCATGGTGCGTAACAATGTTCAGAGTCTACTGGGTGATACTAGAGCCTGTAAGAGAGTGGTGCTTGGGTTGAAACTCAGAAAGAGCATGGGAAGTAACTCCTCTTGTGCTCATGTACACCATATGGAAAGAGAAGAACATGAGAGTGCTTCAAAGAGTAGAATTTTGCATTGTACACATAAGCACAGCATTCTTGGCTTTGTATACTTTTTTGGAGAACTTTTGACTAGATCCTCTTTGTAGAGAATCATGTTCTTTTTTAAGTTACTCTACTTTTGCATACATGTGAAGATGAACCTTGAGCTTAACCCAACCCCAGAAGCTAGCTCATGAGGGAAAGATTGCTAAGGCCATAAAAGACAAAATATTTAACGGTATGTCCTCTTTTGAGACCACTGTTAATGTTTTGTCCCTGTTTTAAGTTTTGGGGAGGATTACCCAAAACATTGTAAGGAGACTATTACCCACTACAACATGTTTGTTTCATGAGATCATGTTACGAATCAAAAATGTTTGTTTCTCCAAGCCATTTTAGGGTTTCTCTCTCTAGGTTTCTTCATCTTCTTAGCTTACTTTTCTGCTCCACCTGCTCATCAATCTTCTTTGATTCACATCCTTGGGACCAGCTGCCTTTCTCTGATCAATGTCAACATGAAATTCCTAATAAGGAGACCCAGAAAACCTCTCAAATCTGAAGGCATTGCTTCTGTGTTACACTATGAGCCCCATAACAGCCAACAAACTCTTACCCCTTTGTGATGATTTTCAACCTGCGAGTAGTTCCCATCACTTCAAGAAATCAATATTTCTCTCAACTAATTTAACCCTAAAATCCTTTTTCACATGGTGGTGGAAAAGTCCTCCAACGGTCACTAATAATAAACCCGTGGCATGAAAGAAAAAAAGACGAAATTTGCATGGTCCATAAGAAGTCGGGTTTCATAAATTGTCAAAAACAAAAATTTGGGAATTAAACAAGAATACTGTATTGGGTTCAGATGAGATAAATAATTGCAGAGTACCTTGGATGAAGGTGCAACAAGTGCATGGACATACACTCAGATGCCACTACACTTCGCTGTATAATCTCCAAATAAACTACTTCTGATAAATGTTCTGCACTCCAACGTTAAAATAATATTGCAATTAACAACTCCACTTGAGAGATCTCCCTTGCCATCTAAGCAAATGAAAGAGACCAAACACTTAATCACCATTTTGGGCTGCCGGGTTTCTACCTTTAATCAGCTGCTTCAAACAGGAGAGAGACATTTAAAACCAGCAGGTTTTTAATAGCAAGACCTACTTGTCGAGATAAAAGTTAAAAAATAGGAACTAACAAATGGTGCATCTTGTATGGAAAATGCAATGATCCCACTGAGCAGGAAAAAGTATAAAATCCCATGCCAGAAGGTTAGCAGAAACAACCTTGTAAAAGTACTTCCTCCGCAGCTTGATGGCAGTCCGTACACACCTCTTGACCCGAATCTTTAACATATTGTCATTGAATATCTGACACATGTTCAACATATAATTATCAGTACAATTACTACGGCACATGAAACAATTAGTAACCATGTAACTCCAACAAATTCATAATTTTCATGCGATATGCACGTGTTATAGCTTATAAGCATTTATAAGCCAGGTAAATATACATACACACACACACACAGAGGGAGGGGGAGGGAGGAAGGTGCCACAAAATAATTCAAGAACAACTTCCACATCAGATAGCAGTAACGCCAAGGTAAAAATGAGGAAGCATCTGAAAAACCAGTCAAAATGAAAATATAATCAACCACCATATTCTGAAGAAGATAATAAGTTGAACACTTATCTTCATGAAGTGAGATAAAGTCAAAGGTCCTTCGGCATGTTAATATAGTAAATTCATAAATTGGTTGCTAGGACAAACATTCTTTAAAATATAAAGAGCATGATAGACACAAAAATAATCTTGCATCCTTAAAATTCTTTTAGCCCTTCAGCAGCAAAAATGGACCTAGATACTAACTTCAGAGTATATTTTTAAAGTTCCTTTCGACAACACTAGGACCTAAATAACACTAAGCAACGGTTGTAGTGAAGTAATCGCTGATCGCAAATTTATACAGTATAGGTACATCACATCATGCCCTGTGTACAACAAAATGCAAAATTTAGGAGGAGGTTACTAGCAGTAATGCCAAAACCTGATGCTTTAGCATAATAACTAGCTAGCATGTGTTGGAAACACGATGCAGGAAGCAATTAAGGGTATTAATAACTAAACTATAACAATCAAGTAAAATGAAAAACAAGGAAACAGATAAAGAGAAATAAGCAAATGTTGTCATCTGTAGTAGTATAGTAGTAGAAAAATAGGCAACATTATGTAGAGTTGAAAATCTGATCACTTCACATTACATTTGAATTAGAAACATACACAAAGCAATTAAAAATGAAAAAAGGGCAGAATCACACAATTGTAAGCATTAAAAACGACGATCAGTATACAGAACAGTAGATGTTAAGTTTGATACACCTGCCTTTATCAGATCATCAATTGAGCGGGTTTCTTTGAGGATCTTCCGGTGGTTCATGAATAGAATAGCTGCTACACAAAAAACTGGTAATTCATCAATACTACTCCTTGCTGATGAGAGCATATTAAAACTGGGCATGCCATTATTTTTGGACCAGATATTCCTAGTCAATCCACAAAATGGACGAGCTAAGGAGAGCTTCATCCCATTGTTTTCAGAGATGGTATGCTCTCCACTTCCATGTTTAGGGGGCGAGTCATCCTTTGAGTCGTTATTGTTATTCTCAACAATTTCTTCTCCTGATTCTGCCTCAGATTCCTTTGGAATCTGAATGACCAATATTTCAGGGCAGTTCTCCCCTAGATGAAAAGCAATTGATTCATCAAAATCCGCAGCCCACATCATCTGCAAGGTGCAAATTAGGTAAGCAGATTAATAACAACTTAAAACACCTAATGAAATTGAAGAGAAAGCATACTTGTGACTATATGGAACAAAAATCCATGTTGCTCGGAGTCTCCAAATGCTGGTGGATGCGTGTCGGATCCTCCAAATGTGGTGCAATTTTTGGAGGATCCGACACGGATACAACATCATTTTTGAAGAGCCCGAGCAACATAGACAAAAACTATCCATATTAAATATCAACAATATTGCATGACAATCGTGTTGAATGGATTCTTAGTCATTTAATATCTCTGAACTTTACTGTCTCTCTTTGATATTTCTTTCTTTCCTTTTCCTCTCTACAAGTGCGCACAATTATATGTTCTTGATGGGTGTAAAATGGAGAATGCTACATCCAGGATAAATAAGTGGCAATAAATGGTAGAGAGCTTGAAGGATGATACACTCATACCCCTGCAATGTTGAAGGAGGCTAAAACTTAGCTGATTATGTGGCCACTTTCAAATGATGCTATGAAGCTAAATAGAGCTGAAGTTGGGATGTATATAAATAATTAGGCACACCACTATCTTTTTCATCTTTCATCTCTTTCTCTATTCTTAGGAAAATAGAAAGAGAGAAGTAGACCAGAAACTTGAACTCATTGCTTAAGGGTCCAAGTAAACAAATCCATCATATTATGAGAAAACTTCTGATGCCATAGTACTTTTCCTACTAATGAAGGTGCTTTCTTATTAGGGCATGACATCTTTTTTGTTGCAACCAACATTCCAGTTCTCGATAAAACTAGAAACACAAACCTCCCACATACAAAGAACCTCGTTAAAAGATAATTCTCGGCGGAAGAGCACCAACAGCATCCGGAAGGCAAAATGAAGGCTTTCAGCACCTATGCTTGACAAATGAGAAAACATTTGTCGATCTGTAAATTCGACAATATGCCATAGAGCTTGCAACTGCTTCATGACACCAGTTGGCCCTTCCATCTGAAAGTTCTCACGCTGAAAAGAAAGAAACATTAAATAAAGTCACAAGCACAAGAAAGAAAGGAATAACAATGATAAACTAAAGTCTGAAATAACACAAGAAATCAATGTTCATGTACAGACCATTCTCCGTAGAAGCATCTCAAAGCACCAGAAAGCATCAGCATTATCCTCAAACAGAACAACAAAAGGAGACAAGAGATCACTCATTCCTAGAAGAAAAAAATATCATGTAAGAGGACAGAAGAAAATAAAGGAATTTTTTCAGAGCTTTGAATTGATACAGCAAAAAAAGAACTTTGGCCAGAGGAAAAGGAACAACCTTGGCAATATCCCGTTGCAGGATCAACCCATGCATAAACAGCCAGGATATCTGACATTCTAGCCAAATTTTTTGTATCCTCATAGAATTCAAGATGGCTATCTGTTCTGACTACATCAACAACTAAAAGCAAAAAGGAAACTCTGTTCCAATATCACTAATTTGCAGGTAAAAGAAATAAAAACAATTCTAGGAAAGAGGTGATCATTAATGCTGAACTCACCTATCTGATGTAATGTCCAGAGCCATTCCGACACTCTTTCGTCACTGAAACCACCTCTTGGAGGTGTTCTAGCATTCATATTTGGAGTGTCTGGTGCGTCAGATATTATGAGTCTGTTAAAAATCTCTGTTTCGTGTTCCTGGAATTTTCCAGACCACGACACTGAATCCGGCCCACTAGGATGAACCCTCACAATTTCAGAGTTCAGGGAACTAGATACGCCATATGATGAGGAAACATTTGCTTCTATGACAAGATCTGCATTATTATTTATTCTGAAGCTGTGCATCTTGTCCTCTCCAAATTTCAATTTATGCCTTGCCAAAATTGTCTTATCATATGACCTAGGACCTTTCTTATTTTTGCTACTCATTTCAAATAAATCTGTAACAGGTAAAGGAGGAAAATCAAAATAGTTCTCATTTACAAATTCTGATTGACATGCTTCACCCCCAAGTTCGGTGGATCTGCAGTCATATGGACCCAAAGTGGGCACAGAACAAAAAGAGTCCAATGCTGCCTCATCTGTGCTTCCCGTTGCACTTATAAGGTCACAAGAATCACTAGAGCTTTCCCTTTGATGTGCATGTGATGTGTCTATACAATTATTATCAAAATCACTGTAACTGTCTAAATTGTCAGTATTGACATTAGAAGCTTGACTGCCCTTGACATCCGCTTCTCTTCTATGGTCATCTTTGGTACTTGTTCTCATATCCATGACCTTGGACCCAACAACATAGGCTAGGGAACCAGTTCCTACACTGGAATGCATTGCTTGGCACTGCTTTATGAGGTCTCTGTAACGTTCCCTGAGGAGACACTATTATTGATTTAGTATGGATATACAAAAATCATATCTCAAAGTTTGTTAATTGCAAAAGTTAAGACATCTCTTATAGGGATTTTTGCTTATGCAGGTGGCACACTTTCTATAACGAATAAAACTACCCCTCCTTTAACACTTAAAAAAAAAAAGAATAAACAGATCAAGGAATCAAAATCTTTTCCAGACCTAGAAAGTACCTTGCACAATGGCAATGGAGAATAAAGCTAAGACAATTTGGCGCGTCTGATATAACAAGCAAGAGTCTGAATCTTTCTACAAGACAGTGAAAGGCTTAATTCGCATCTCTCGTGAATAAATAACTGCAATGGATATGCAAATGCTAAAAGTGAGGACAGAAAAATTGAGGGGGGATTTGAGGGGCTTCTACAAGCAAACAGATGAGGCATTAAAATGTTGGGATGAAGCAGATTTATGGATTATAGGGAGAACTTTCAATACAACAGATTCCCCCTGGAAGATGTCAGTCATTCTCCAAGACGATGAAGGAATTGTTTACTAATCAATTGCCACCAATTTGTTGACCTCCTTCTGTCAATCGATATGTCGATCTAGATCATGACACAATTGGCTTCTTAACTCAACAGGGTAAGAGAGAAGATGTTTCTGATGCTCCCAAATGTTATTCAAGTTCCTCTTCTTCAGCTAGCATCAGATACACCAACTTGTTTGATTGTATTGTTCAAATTCGAAAACATGTGGTTCAAGCCCCAAACTTTCAAGAATTCATAGCAAATAAGCTGAAGGTATCACAAAATGATTTACAGTGGAATAGAGAGTGTTAACGGGGGATGAGACGGACCAAAAATCACATGGAAGAAAGTAGTCTCAGAAAACCTAAAATTCTCAGATTACATGCAGACTTAGCGGAGAACATAAAAAACGGAAGGAAAAGATCCACATAAGCAATGCCAATTTGTTGGGATTGAGGCTTCGTCATAGCAAATACGATTCATATAGCTGACCCGAACTAGTTGGGGATTCAAACATAGTAGCTTTCTTCTTGTAAGAGAAGTGTTCAAAATGATGGATATCAAAAAGAGAGAACTGAACAATCAAAAAATAAAATTGCTGGAACTAGTGAATGAACTTGGGGAATTAGAGAGCAAAGAGGGGAAAGGAGGTCTAACCGAGGAAGATAAAATGAGAAGGGAGGGGCTAATAGGGGATTTAGCTTATGCAAATTTCAAAGGAGATTAGTTGTTGAAAAAATCAATGGTGTTAAGGTAGGTGATTGCAACAAAAATTCTTCCATTGATGAGCTAACGCTAGAAAGAGGAAAAAAATTTCGAATGCCACATATGGAGGTAAAGTATAAGAAGTGAGAGATAATTTAGCGATCTTATACAAAATTGTAAAAAACAAATGATATGACATAAAGACCAATGCTAGACAGAGAGTTAGTAACATAGGGTGGGAGTGGGGGGAGATGAGGCGGTGATTGAAGAGGAAGATTAAAGTAGCCCATATAGTGGTTGTTATCCCCTTATACGATTTTGGGCAATTCTCATCACATGAGCTAACTTTTGGGATTGAGCTAGTTCAAGAGTCATCTTCAAAATACGATATTAGAATCAAACTCAAACATATTCTTGTTTACCCAATATTTGGCCCCCGTGTTATATTATCAGCACACCAGATGACCCGTCTTGGACGTGCATGGGTGTTAAGTGTCCCGTATTAGTTGAGGGAATGTGTTGCTGTCTTCTTATATGATTTTTAGCAGTTCTCACCTCATAAGCTAGTTTTTGGGGTTGAGTTAGGTCCAAGCTCCATCCTTTTAACCAAGATAAAATTCTTATAGAAAGATTAAGAGGCAATCAGCAATTGTGCGGGTATAAGGCAGATACGGTGCCGTATCTGGATGACCTCATAATGGTGTTCTTTCATCACTGCAGGTAGGGGAGTATATGGTTTGATTTGACTTGATCATTGTTTTCCTTAAAAAATACCAAAGCAACTATGTCAGTTTGCTAAATCTATAAACTAAATCAGACCAACATAAAATTGAATTTTTAGGTACCTTTTTCGGATTTCTCAATTTTTTAATCACATGAATATTAGGAGTATGTCAACGTGAAATTTCTTAATACACACTGAAATTAAAATGCTTGTCCTACTTAGTATATAGTTGAACTAAAGAATTTAATATCCCATTATAAATAATTTAAACAAAAATTTAAAATCATACATGCTATTTTCCTTTGGAGACCAAACTATCTAAAAGAAAGAAAAAAAGACATTTTCTTTATCCACCTTATATAGGTCACTAATAATTTCAATATTTCAATGTAGATGGTTTAACCCAAATCATTTGCAACACAAATACTTTTTCTCCTGCATAAAAACGCATGTTATACCCATCTTAAAAGAAAAATCATGATGGACTCGCCCCAACAAGAGGTTTCTACCTATGATATATGGTTAAATTAGGTTACCCGAACTTTAATAGTTGTTTTAATGGTTGCTTAGTTTGCATGCGCACACCTTTTTTCTGTGTAACACATTTTCAATGGAATATAGCAGTAAGGGGAAAGCAAATACCTTCTAGCAGTCCTCAGCTTCTTTCGATACTTAGCAGAGCTGCCCAAAGCATAACACCCCAAGAGAAATTCCCAAACTTCTGGCCTTATGGATGGATCCACACCCTACCATGCAAGAAAGATTTTTTCCGTTACAGCATTGATACACTCATAAATTTCATGTATATATAAATTGTCAAATATTAATACTTTTCTTTTGGCAAATTAATCTCTTTTAAACAACCACCTTAAAGAGCCCTGGGTCAGAACTTGACAAAAGTGTGTTTTGCAGGTGAAACTCAATTTCAATGTATGTTATACAAAATCTGTCACCATTTCACTCTACTTCTCTGAGTATTCCAGAAGCTGCCTAATAGGATACTTCAGCTATGTTTTTCAGGAGGATTGTCATATGGATTATGCATCTCTTGTTTAGTATCAACAGAGAGGTTAACTCTCCTTTTCTTCTTTTCTTAATAGGTTTGTCCCTTAATGCTCGTTATTCCCAAGAAAGGGAGATGTTTTGATGGAGCTTTCATGTCTCAAAATGTTGTGACGGAACATTACACATACATCTCAGTTGTGTCCGGATCAATTTGTGCGAACCTCGACTAACCCACCATGCAGCATGTTCAGCACATAAACATATGTTTCCAAGGTAACCCCGTGCACCAGAATAGATACACGCACACCAAGTGTTGTAGTTGGGATTTGAACCTGGGATCTCTAGGTTGTGATTGAAGGGGAGCCTTGAAGTAGCGGTAAAGTTGTCTCCATGTGACCTATAGGTCACGGGTTTGAGCCGTGAAACAAGCCATTGATACTTGTGTCAGAGTACGCTGCCTACTTCACACCCCTTGGGGTGCGGCCCTTCCCTAAACCTTACGTGAACGCGGAATGCTTTGTGCACTGTGTTGTCTTTTTTTTTAATCTCTAAGCTGTTACTCTCATGCCTCCACCACTAGACCATCCCCTTGGAGAAAGCTCAAAGTATATAAAACAATGTATTGGAACTTGCAATCTTTCATTTAATGTTTTTACAATTCTTGGTATGCCTCCCCACCCCCAAAAAAAACCCTAGGAATTTTTGAAGAGATCTGTACTTAGACGTGCTTACAATTCGAAGTAAGAAAGCTGAGGGAGATTTAGAGCCTGTTTGGATGGGCTTAAAAGCTGGGTTTTTAAGCACTTTTTAATTTGTGGAAGTGTTTGGCAACCCAAAAAAGGGCTTAAAAAAAGTTAAAATCTGCTTTAAAAAAGCCAAAACCAATAAGTTGAAAAACCCAACTTTTTCGAAATTGGCTTAAAAGCCATATTGCTTTGACCAAATATATTACATTCTTATCCCTTATAATTTTTCTTAATCCCGAAATTACCCCTCAGTAGAAAACCTTACAACATACTATCTTTTTCTTTTCTCCATTCTTGTTTCAGCAGCCTTCTTCTTCGTCTTCTTCCATAACTTTCCTCTCTTTTCCTTTCATTTCTTTCTTTACACTTTCATTCATTATTTTCCCATCTTTTTCTTTTCCTTTCATTTCTTTCTTTACGCACCCCTCATATTTTTCAGTAAAATACTTTCACATATTCGAACAACTTTTATCAATCTAAGTGGGGGGGAAATTAAAGGGCAGATGAATTAGTTGCGATCTGTTTTTAAATTTTTTATTTTTGGGTGGTCGATTTATTAGTTTAAAGAAAAGGTCGATTTACTGGAATGAGAAAGAGAAAACTTTTTACAAATAATTGGCTCAATAGCTCATCTGTCTTCCCATTTACCAACCCAGAAAAAAATAGCAAACACACAAGACAAAAATGTGACAATCATCCGTTTGAAGCTATGAACGAAAAATATAATATTATAGTAATCATCTTCTTTATAATGTTAACAACTTTAAGGATATTTCAGTCATTTTAACAAGAAAAAGTGCTTACGAGCACCTCTTTACCAAACACTTCATCAGCTTTTTTTCAGTTTCGGCACTTTTATCCAAACACGTAACTGCTTATTTATAAAATAAGTTCCAGCACTTATAAAATGCTTTTAAGCACTTAACTTAAAAGCCACTTATTTTAAGTCAATCCAAACGGGCTCTTAATGTTGTTTCTCTGAATGCTTCCATTGCCACTTTAAAACACAACGACGATTTTCCATACCTAGCTATATACCATTACAAAGAATCCTCCATTGCTCCCTTTTTGCAACTGACATTGCTGCCTCTAGTTTCTCTGGTACCTTAGATGCTTTTGTTTCTTTGTTATCAACTTTGCAGCAATATACCATGTGTTGAACTTTTCGGTTGGAATAATAATTTGTTTTACTAATTTCTTTTCAAATCTTTTGTCGTTTTAAAAGGAATCAAACTGCGACATACTATAATTGCATGAATTTGTGGGGGGAAATTCTTCTACCAGATATGAAAGGTCGCATTCTAAGGGGACAAGTATTGCATATATTCTAGTTTAGCACAAATTAGTCATATACTCTTTTTTCCCTTACCAATAACATAGGAAGCCACCAAGTGGAATATATTCAAGCTTTTTAGAGGTCAGAGCTCCAAATTATGACACTATCACACCATAATATTCATTCTCTTTACACAATGGATGAATGTCCAGTCCGTGGCAAGATAATTTTCAAAGCTATAAAAACCATGCACCGAGAATGTGTGGCTTCACTTTAGGTATTTGCACAAAACATCAACACAAGAAGGAGCTAATATACAGGATTGTTAATAGATATCCCCCTCTCTGACATTGGAATCAAATATTTGGACTAGGAGATATCGATGGTTAATGGTGACAATTAGTTTCGACGTACAAACGAAGATGAGAATAGGCAAGCCCACTTGATTAAAGTTTATCTTTAGTTAGAGATAAACTTTAATCAAGTCTTGTCTTTTTAGAAACAGTACTATTACTAAGAATTATAACTTGTTCAGGATTCACTACCCTATAGATAGCACTCTTATGTATTCTAAAGGAGAAGTCTTGAATAAATTGTAATTGCTAAACTGATTTGATGTTAAATTTCTCTTTGTCCTCTCATATTCTTTCTCTATATCTCGTTCTCTTTCTCCCTCTTTTTCTCAATATTTCTTTTTGTCTCTCCGTCTTTCTCTTAGTCTCTCTTTTCTCCTTTGTCTCTCTTTATCATTTCTTCTCATCTTTCTCTGTCATCCCTCTCTTGTTGCTTCATCAATGTAGTATCAATGCACAAACTTGATTTATTACACTGTTGCATTCTTGAGCTCTATCAGCATTATTCGGCATCTTCCGTTAGTGGTTTGAGAAGGTGTGATAATTGGCAAAAAGTACAAGTTTTGAGTATATTTACGTCACTTATCGTATGTGATTTATGGGAGATTTGCATGGTTATTGGATGGAAATTGTGCTCATTACGTGTTTCTATTATGTAGGAACGTGTTCAAATGAAAATTGATAAAAAGAGGATGATTTAGCGCGAAAGGGAAGTGAGAAGCAAGAAAACAGTTGAAGCTGGGGTTCGTCCAGGGTTGTGCATCGCAAGAGAGGTGCACGAGCCAGGGAAGTCAGCTTTGTCGAAAACAGTAACTTGAAGCCATCGCGCGGACTAGCTTGAGAAAAGAAGAGGAAAAAGGAAATTCTGGCCTCGTCCAAGGGCCTTGCATCGCACGAGACCCAAACGCGTTCAGTGAATCCTGTCCGAAGTTAGATCGGTTTGTACGACTTCCTACCCGCCCTAGGCCATATATATACCTCAAGAAACGTCCTTGAAGGGGCTACACAATAATTTTGGAGGCAAGAACGTGATAGGAGCGAAGAAGGACAGATTCGGTAATGAGTGTTCATTCTTCTTCCCAATTCTCTTGTTGGTTATGAATTTTAGTAGTGTAATTACGCATACTATTATGAGTAGATAATTTTCTACTCTAGGGTTTGACGGAACCGATTGTTGGATGCATTTTTTACTGCATTTTGTTATAATTTGAGCCATTTATTTCTGTGTTCAACTACGTGTTTTAGTTTAGTTAATTGAAGGGCCCTCGATTAACGATGTCTAGTTCGTGTGTATTGCTTGAGAAAGAATACGTGCTTAGGTTGTATTGACATCGTTACTCCGAAGTATTTGAGAGATTAATGCTTAGGTTTAAAAATAACAAAGCTTTGACGCGGTCAACATGAGAATGGGTAAAAATTGCTTACTAGAGTAGAGAATGCATCTACTATTCTATTGTGATTGATCGAAAGATAATTGCGGTAAGTTGAGTACTCACGATCCATAGAGAACAATTGGCGAAATTATAGCTAACGTAGCGAGAAAGAATCCAACAATTGGGGAAGTCTCAACCCTAAGCCTCCTGAATCTTAAAAACAACTCTTCATCTAATTAGTTGATAAATTTCCTGCATTTTATTAGCCGAAATTATTTAGTCTAAATCTCAGATCATTATTTGATAATTCGGAAAGTTGGTTCACTTGACTCTTGGCTATAGTGAAGGTTGTGATCAAAAGGTTAGTTTCCTGTGGAATTCGACTCCGGACTCTAAAGCGAATTATATTTGCAACGATTGTTTAGTCCTTTATAGTTATAGTTGGGCGTGATTCTCCAACTGATCAAAATCAACCACTATATGAGGTTACATGGACCCAAGATATGTTCATTTTATTTACTCCAAATCTTTGGATGTTGCGCTGTCAACCTCACTCGTCAAGTTTTTTACAAAAAACGACGTGACTAAATTAAGAGTTCTAACTTGTTCAAAATTCACTATCATATAAATAGATTATGTACTGTTTTTGGAAAAGTCTTCAATAATAATGAAAACGGATGAATTGATTTGATATTAAAATCACTCTCCATTCTTGGTATTTCTTTCAGTCTAGCCCTCTTTCTTTCTTTCTCTCTCTCTATTTCCTTTAGTGTCTCCCTCTTTCTCTCTTCTCTATCCTCGTCTTTCTTTCTCCCGTTCTTCATTATCTTACAACAACAACAAGCCCAATAATTTTACACAAGTGGGATCTGGGGAGGGTAAGATGTACGCAGCCGTACCCCTACCCTGGAAGGGCAGAGGGGCTGTTTCCGATATACCTTCGGCCGGAGAACGGATGAAAGAAGAGGAGAAAAAGGTGGCAACAAGTAGAAAT